ATTATTATCGGCTTATCAAATAACAAATTCCATTGAAACTATTTATAACACCTAATTTTGAAAATTTCCTCATTAGCGTTATTATGCAGCAAATTCAAATTTCGCTTTCAATTATGCATGTTTTGGTAGATGTCGTAGACTTTTACAGATTTGTAAGTATTAAATTAGGAAGTCGTTGATTAATTAAGAATTTAATAATCTATGTTTAGTTATAATTAATTAATCATGCTAAGGGGGACAATTTAACGCGATTTTTTTTTTCTGTCACCTTTATTTTTCTTTTTCTTTGTTCTTTCCTCTTTGGAACCCCACACGTTAATATGCTTTAGCTACATTTTTTTCTTTTTCTTTTTTTTTCTAACTAACAGTGCGATCATTTTTTTTTTTCCCTTTAATCGTGTGGCACAATTTATGAAGTCATCTGTAATTATTTATAAATGGTATATTATCATATATATGTTTCAAATAAATACATTTGATATATGTGTTGATATTCCTGGCTCTATAGAGTTCGGTATTTTTCTTAAGATTATGAGTTTTTGAATTTAAATGAAAGTTTAAATATGTTTTGTTCTACAAAAATGGATAAGAGATTAAAAGAGTGCATTAGATTTTATTGAGAGACAAAAAATTAAATAAGTGTGATTATAATACTATGTTTTGATATTGTTCCATACTTTTTGTGCCTAAACATCTAATAGTAAACTCAACTTGTCTGAAAATGAAGGCCTTTTGAAAAGGATTTTGTCAAAGTTGCTTGTAAAACAAGATTATCTTGGTAGATACAACTAACCAACAAAAGATATATCATATATGCAATACAAAACCTCACTCCCCCATATACTATCAACACACTATGAAAATAATTAGCATACTATATATTATAAATATGCAATTGAAAGTAATTAATAATATTATCTTAACTCGAGATTGGTGGACACAGTTTAATTAACATACATCATATATTATTAAAAAATAAAAATACGAAATGATTTTATTTTCTCAGGCCATTATTAGTTCCCACATTTTTCCATATGGAGTTTCTTTCATCTTGAGGTAAAATTATTGGATAAAACTAGCCCGTGACTCGGCGCTTGATGAATATTCATAAGCAACAATTTTTTTTAGGGTTAATTGTAAATAAAATCTTAATCTTTTTGTCTAATTGCAAATAAAACTCAACTTTTTCAATTTGGTAAAAAAATACCAAACCATTAATAAGTGTTGTAATTGTGTCTCAATCACCTTCCGCTGCCGCCGAACCGCTGCCAACCGCCACCCGCCGGCGGCCAACTTCGCCGAATGTTGAAAATTTTTACATGATCTTGTAGCTCTCCTCCGTGTCGACAACATATCCGAGTTTCACGAAAAAATTCTGACGATAAGGAGATGACCGGAAAAAGTCACCGGTTCCGGCGAAGGTGGACGTCACTAGATGAGGCTTTGTGAGAGGAGTTCAACGGTACTTTCGGATTCACGTGGGTCAAAGTGAGACACCGGGAATTTGTGAAAGAACGTCGGAGAAAATTTATAGATCTACATGCTTTGACCGAAAAATTGGAAGCCTTATTGTCGGAATTTTTTCGTGAAACTCGGATATGTTATCGGCACGAAGGAGAGCTACAAGATCATATAAAAATTTTCAACATTCGGCGAAGTTGGCGGCGGTCCGGCGGCGGCGGAAGGTGATTGAAACACAATTACAACACTTATTAAATGTTTGGTATTTTTTTGCCAAATTAAAAAAGTTGAGTTTTATTTCACTTATACAAAAGATTAAGATTTTATTTACAATTAACCTTTTTTTTTATCCCTTTTTCTTAGAGACAATTAAATAAACAAAAGACAAAAACATGTTTTGCAAGTTTTTCTAGGTACATTCTTTTAATTGGTCAAAAAGTAGATTCCTTGCTTTACTTTTACGCTTGATAAAAAAGCAGAAGCATTTTTTAGAAATTCTACTTTATGAAATAACTTGTTTGTGAATATGCTTGATATTACTTGGATATTTTGCATTTTTTTTTACAGAAGTTTAATATTTTTTTAATTTATTTACTTGCATATTATTAAGTTTCATATATTTGTCGGATATCAGCAGTGTTTTAAATACCGTACCGGTGGTCATACCGGTCTAGCCACCGGTATACGGTATTACCGGTAATATCGGTGGTATTACCGAACTAACAAATATAATGATACATATAAATATACATAAAAATATATAATACCAAATGCAAAAAAGTAAAAAAAAATAAATAACCATAATCATTAATTTCAACTTCTCAATTAGATAAAAATAAAATATTTAACTACCAATTTAAATTTTATGTTTTTAAATTAATAAATTTTATTTTTTTTTATTCTTTACCGGTATTTTGGACCGGTATTTACGGTATGATTCCGATATAAACCGGTATAACCGTAAATCCTATATTTTGAGTGTATTTGTACTGTACTAATGGCCGGTATCCGGTATTACCGGCCGATACGATACGGTATTTAAATCATTACCGGTATTACCGGCCGGTACGATACAGTATTTAAATCATTGGATATCAGTGTTAATTTGTTTAGTTTATTATATTTCATTTGTTTGTAGTCCTAAATAAACCTAATAGGATACTAGCAAAATATGATGTGTAATTTGTATATAGCCATAGATTTCTATTACTTCATAATTCACGTGTTTATGAGGTTTCATATCATGTTACTAAAACTCAACAAAGGCAATAAAAACAAGTGATAGAAACCGCACACTCTTCATGTTGGGTGCTTTTATGCATGAAAAGAAATACTTTAAATAATCGCTTTGGGCATTATTATGTGTTGAGTCACTCACCATATTAACATAAAAATGTGAAATCAAAACTCAAGAGGTCTATAAGAAAGGAGATATTGATTGGTCGGAAAAAGTGTGTATTTTATATATTTATTAACATATTTTTATATGTTTAATTTTATTGGACTTATATAATTTTCGGCTTACTTATTATTTGGATGGATTCATATACCTTGACGTTTTTATAATTATTTTCCGCATATTGAAGTATTTTGTGATGTGCAACATTGGACGGAGCTTTACGTGATCAATCATCGGGCCTTCCCAATATCTGTCAATTTAGCCCAAATTACAGCAAGATTTTGATATGGAATTATATAATAAATAATTAATTGTCTTCAACTGTGGAGCCCAAAATACTTGGGGCCCTAGGAGATTCATGCATAAAGGTGGTCACGCAACATAGGAGTGAATTATATTGGGCTGCACATTTATTTGACTTGAGGAAGGAATAATTGAAGGCTAGGAAGGAGAATATATTTCGGAGTCTTGGGAGCCGACACGGGGAAATTAATTGCGAAAGAAGGGAAAAGAAAAGAGAATACGCAAAGGCAGAGAACAGAGAACAAGAAGAAAGCCGTACGGAGGAGGCGGACAGACAGAAGAACTCGGCAATTGCGGAGGAAGATCGCAACACAAAAGGGGATAATCTTATTCCTTTTTTTTTTATTTATTATGTTAGAGTAGATTTTAGTTCTAGTTTCGGGGATGTCGAACTCCAGTTTTGCTATGAAGTCAACAGTTAGCTCTATAGTATGGCCAACCTTCTATATACAACAAGTAAACTTACCATATTCTCTGATTACTTAAATAACACTAATATAATTTTATTAATATGGTAGGTTTATTTGTTGTATATAGAAGGTTGGCTCCACTATGAAGCCAACGGTTGGCTTCATAGCAAAACCGTGTCGAACCCTACGTACTTGACTATGTTTAATCAATTACGGTGATTGATATTTTGCTATTTTTATAAAATTGTTTATGTTATTTTGATTGAGCAACCATGATGTGTTTGATTTTGTTTAGATTGATCACCTAGATAAGATTCTTCATATATACAGTAGAATTGAACTTGCAATCCGTAATTGTTGTTGAGTTTAATTCATAAGTAGCAACGGCAACTACCGGGGATAACGCCGGCCTAATTAAGTGAACGAACGCGGTTGAGTTCACTACTTTGTCTAGCATATTTTTCTAATTCGGGTAGCAGAGTGTGTTGCTATCTAGGGCTAATAATTTCAGGAGATAGTGAATTTGACGTCACAATTAGTTAGACTAGTCGAACGAGGTTGTAAACAGAACTGTGAACTAGAAAATTCTCGTAATTTATTTATTTCATTTTTATTTTTCTTGTTTAGATTTATTTACTTCATTAGGATTTTTGAGTTAGTTTAGTTATTAAATCGCAATCCCTCCCTTCTTTCATTGCTTTTATTATTTCAATTAATACAAAAAGATTCACAATTTGATTTACACTCCTCGTGGGATCGATCCTTACTTGCCGCTACTACTAGTTAGTAGAGGTTAATTGAGGAAAAACATAAATTTTAATTTGCCGAATTGCGACGCGCGGTCAGATATAATTAGAGTTGTTAAACGAAAGAGCCGCTCGTAAGCTCGAGCTCGCTTAAAACTCGTTTTCTTGAACGAGTTGGGCTCAGCTCGGTTCGATAATGCTCGTTAAGAGAATTTTTTGTAACTTTGTATAGTTCGACTCGTTAAAGCTAAGAACGGCTAATTAAGACTCAAACTCGACTCGTTAATATTGATAAATGAGCTGATATCGAGCTCGATTTCTGTCTCAGTTACTTAACGAGCTGGGCTCGAGCTCAAACTCAAGCTCGAGCACCCGGAACTCGAGTTCGGCTCGTTTACATACCTAGATATGATATGATATGTTGTTAAAAAATCATGAGATCTTGACACTTGGTTGGTAGGCACAACTTAACGTGTCCACGGTATTAGCTGGTCATTTATGATATTATAATTTATAATATTAAAATTTATAATAAGTAAATTTTGACAAAAAATGGCCACAAATCAAGGACACGTACAAACTTGCTCGCTCTAATTTGACTAATAAATTAGACTCGTGCTGTTGAAACTTGAAATGAACACTATTGGGCTTAAAATTGGGTTTGAAATGAACACTATTGGGCTTAAAGTTGGGTTTGTGACTTTCATAAGCTTCTATACAAAATTCATCACAATTGCTTGAATTGGGCCAGTTGGATGATATGAACTACATGGGCCAAGCTGGGAAAAAGTGCAGGCATGAAGCAACCTATATGAAATGACAGTCATCAATTATGATCCAATATTAACTGGTAATATGTGCCCATTAAGGACTTCTTTTTCCCTTCAATTATTTTTTCAGGTAACTAAAATATTTTTGAGGCGTACAATTAATTAAAGCATAGTTGAAAAAGGAAAAGAGCAAATTGAGAATAAGAGATTAATTAACTAATTAATTAATCCTGATCATCACTACAGTTCCTAATAGCTTGCAACACAGCTTGTTTGACCACCTGGGCATCAATGCTTTCCGGCAGCCCTTCATTCTGCAATCCAAACAATTAAGCCAATATAATATATATAAGGTCAATAATATAATATAAGCTCATACTTTATTACTTAGTAAAAAAATAAAATAGAAAAACCAGACATATTGCATGTACAACATGCCAATTAACTAACAAATGAGAGAATGTAAAGGAGTCGAGCCGAATTCGAGCTCATATTACTCAAATTGAACTCATTTATCAACATTAACAAATTGGGCTCGAGATTTAATGAGCCAAAATATAAAAAGTTTATATAAAAATTTCTCTTTATGAAGTTATCGAGGCGAGTCGAGCCCGACTCGCTAACTAAACGAGCTTAACCGCATCTATCCACCGGTTACACTTATTGGAAGACAACAAAAAAGAAATTTCGCATTTAGCCACAAAAAATTTGATCTATAATTATTGGATAAACTGCCACAATAAATTTGTTAAACAACTATATTTTTCTAACTGACATCCATATTGTTAGACAACCATATTCGTGTAACAAACATCTATACTTTCAAACGAATTGTCATGATACTCTATCTAATATCTATGATACAACATAAATAAAATTATAACATTTCGTAACATAAATCAATAGTGTTTTTATAATCGCCATCAGAGCCACAGAAGACTATCTGATTAATTGATTTGTTTCTGCTGATCAAACTCCAATTTCATCATTGGAATTAGAAAAAAAAGAAAAAAAAAGTTCTTTTGTATATTTGATATTGTTACTTCGTTTATTTTGATACTTTCGGCAATTCCATATATTATACCTGTTCACACAAGATGATATTTTTCTTTGAAATATGTAATATATACATCTCACACAAGAATTTTGTATAATTAAACAAGTCAGTAATCAGTAGAACTCTATGATGATACATATAGGACATGATTAACTAAAAATTGTTCTCTCCATAGCTAAATTAAGCACTAATTAAATCTTATCAATTAATTACGTACTGCAGGGACAAATACATGGTAAAAAAAAACATAGATTAATTATTTTTACCTGATCACTAACAGCCTCAAGATGAAAATTATCGGTACACGAAACCCTAGCATCGAACACTTCAAGCCCGACTTCATCAAAAGCTTCCAAGATTGACCGAAGCATACCTGGGCAGTTTCGCTCTGAAAACACGTCTATTAGAAACCCTTTTTCTAGGGTTTTCACTTTCACCTGGATGAAACTAATCTTGATTATTTCAGGTTTCTTGATTATTGCTAATTAATGACCTTAAGTTTTTACTTTTTTACCGTAGATGACAAGCTTGAAGTGGTCTCTAAGGCCGCTACATCTTGATTAAGTTGTTCGACTTTTACCTTCAATTCCTCGATATACCTCGATGCATCCACCACTATAGATGCTTTGTTGACCTATATTATATGAACCAAAATAATAGTTAAGAAAGAATTTAAATTCAATCAATTACATATATACATATATAAAAAAAAAAAAAAGAGTAAAATACTAAAATGAGTGAAATTCATATATATGAGTCTTATATACAGCGGTAGAATTCGTGACGATCCTAAGTTTTTCGAGCTTCTTGTCAAGGGCTTCCTTTTTGCTCTCTCTCGACCCCATTTTCTTCTTTCGCGCGACCGAAGAATCACGACACAATGAAGAAATTATTAGAAAATGTTAATTAATTATTTAAGGGTTGTGTAAATATGGTGGCTTTTTAAAGAGAGTTCTCAATGCTGTTTTTTGTTTTTTCCTGCATGAGCACCACAATTTCACAGGAGGCCATGACGTAATCGAGAGGGCGCGAAATGACGGTTATGCCCTTTACCTGCAATATCAGATCAAGAAAGATGTACATGTATGATGTATGGTGAACCTATCTTTGTCTTGTTCTTCATATATAATATATAATAAAGTCATATAATTAATATGTAAGGTACCCTTCAAGACTCTAGTAAGGTCTTCCATCGTCGACTTGGTTGGTGTTATATCGCGTCAAAATTTTAGTATTTTTATTCAATTACTTTCTTTATAAGTAATGCTCAAAGTTAAGTCAATATACAATTCAAACTTTTAAATACTACTATACTCAATAATCAGTCTTACATGAGTATTGTACTAGTGACGATTAATTGATAAAACAAGGCCAAAATGAAATATGTTGTAAAAGACTATTAAAGTAAAAATGATCGATATCAATTATTAAGTCGTACAATCCAAACTGTTTTCTCAATAACCGTGTGTTACATGAGTATTGTACTAGTAAAGATTAATCGGTGAATGAGGGCAATTTGGTAAAGTGAGCAAGCGATACCAAAACGAAATATGTTGTGTGTAAGAAGACTCAATTCACATGACTATCATATCCCTTTCATCTCCCCTCACATTCTTCTCATTCTATTTTATTTTATTTTTTTCTTCAAGTTGAAAAAATCAGGTGAAGGCACACGTGTTTGGGACAAGGTTAGCTCAGATGGAAAGCATTGGGCTAGACACACATTCTTATGTTGCCAAGAGTTGTGTGGCCGTTTATTCGTAAAACAGAGTTGATTTACCACTTGTGATGACTTTACTAACCGAGCATGCATTTGAAATGGTTAAAAAAGGACCAAAAAACGAGGCGGTCTATTGGAATATATCATTATGCTAATATGAGTTGTCGAAAGTTGATAAATAGAATAAATTAGCGCGCGACCATGATTTTTATTACCAATTGGTTTTGGAATATAATTTCACTTTAGTAGTTAGTTTTTTGAAATAGAATTTTAACTTCAGTGGTCATCTTTTTTTCAATATATATTGAAACGTATATTTGTCACGGAGTGCGCTAATTGTAGTACGAACTAAAACAATAATTGTAAAATGCGGAAGCAATCAACCGAATATTAATAAACTCTTCAGGGAAGCATCCCACTTCCCCTCAGAGCTCTTTCATTGATAGATCACACATGAACATAGTTTGGTCTTACAAAGACTTGAACTCCCTTCAAATCTAGCCAACACTACTCTAGATCCTATCAACTAATTCTCCGGCCACGTCCCGTGGACTTATAAAACAACACTTACTCCTTAAGTGTATAAACTGTAACAGAGTTTTGATGAATGAATAGAAACTGGATAAAAAGCAGCTTCAGTCCTTGAGTGTGTAAGAACTCTCAGACTGAACTGAATACAATTTGAACAGAAAGAAAACGAAGCTTGAATTGCTCTGCAAATTATCTCTCTCAAAACACACGCCCGCCGGAAGCTTCTTCCAGGGTATATATATAAACTCCTTTTAGGGTTGGAGTCTTCTACAAGGCATAGGACTTCAAACAAGATTTCCTTCCAAAAGAGTAGTATATCTTTGGAAAGAAAATCTTCTACTCTCTCTCTTGATTTCCTCATCACGCACGGCTCTTCTCTTCCTCTTCTTTATCTCTTCACGTCCGATCTCCTATAGTATCCAAAGTCATAATAAGATCTACACGGACTTATACATAAAATATAAAATAAGATTAATTAAGGAAATAGAATATGTAAAGATCTCCCCTTTATTCTGTGGTTCCAGGTGCTTGTTCGAACTAACGAACTAATGCCAAAATAAAATATCTTTCATATATATATTTTAAAAACAATTTATTCATTTTAACTTGAAGAATTGACCCATTTAACCACTAATCAGCCAGGTAACATTTATTTTTTTGTGGTATACTACTCAGTACCCATCAAGTTTCATATGATAGTAACCAAGTTTAGTTGTGCGCTCATAGACACTAATATTTGATTTCAAGAGACAAAAATTAATGGTACTTGGGTTCTCGTGTGGTCCCTTTACATAATAATGTAATTATGTATCACTAATAATATGATCAGATTATGTTAATAAGTATCAAAGTTACATGAACTATAGCTTTCAAACACAATGTAATTCTAGCCAACATTATATTTAAATGAAAGTGTTCAATTTCAAACAACAAGAAATTGAAATCTCATATGCAAAAAAATTGGCATCAACAGACAAAATTATGTTTTTATCTTTTATCATAATTTTCCAAATACAATTGAGAGAATAAAATTGTCAGCATTCCACGAGGACAAAGCACCAAGTACCCACCTACTCACATGTGTGCATTAATCATCAGAACAAAACAATCCACCTCACAAAATACATATATATATCCAGCTCCAAACTTGTCTCCTCCCCTAATTCCAATTTTCTCTGGAATTCATTCAGTTTCTTAATTTATCACTCTGAGAAAAAAATAAATAATTTCAAATTTCCATTCTCTTGTGAATTTTAATTATCATATGTAAGTTTTCATTTTACACATTAGTGTGTCTGAATGGTTGTGTTTTTTATAAATTATTCATAAAATATTTTTGAAGATAATTAAAGAAGAAACAACAAAAATGTCTCGTGTTTCATTTCACTATATGACTGACACGTCACAGTGTACATGATATACACACACTTTATTCGCTCAATAAAATGAAAAATGATATGGAACATAAAAGTGGAACCGAAGATAATAGTAATAATAATTTATATATGTTCATCAATTATTTTATTTTATATATAGAATGTTATATAGTACATCAATTTGCAGGTTCATGCCATTTGTTGTGATGTGCTAGTTTTACAAGAAAGTTCACGGGCCAATAATATTTTGAAGTTCCAATTGAGATGAAACAATATTACCGTGTATACAAAAGAAATTGCAGGCGNAAAAAAAACCCAAACAAATTCTGGAAAATATTAGTTAATGAAAATTGAGCCAATTAATATATTTCCAACAAAAAATTCGACCATATCGTTGAAAGCAGCACCCAATTTTTACCATTGGAAGTGTGATTCCATTTACATTTTACAACACATGTAATTATTAGAAATAGTTAAAAAAAAAAGGTCACTTTCAAGAAAAGTTATTATAGACAAACAAAAAAAATCACAATATTCAATAAAAATAAATACAAACTATAATTAACCTGACTCCACCAGTGTCCTTTTCACTGTGTCACATGATATGGAAAATGTAGCATAAGTCCAGAAATGAAAGCACCCTAAAAACTCAAATAAAAAAACTGAAGTATTGTAATAATAGCCTGGATGAATTTTTGGATGGACTATATCTTTCACTATTCCCCAATAAAACGGGAGTTTGGATAGACTTTTTCATCCATGGATCAAAAATATTCCTTGCCCTGGAAAAGTCACCGCTAAATTCTATGTATTTAATATATACCATAAACTATATAATGTATTTAATTTATATTCCTAATCATTCATGTCATTTGATTGAGATTTTCAATTTGTTAATAAATGTATTAGGCATCTATCATTGGGCCATATCTATAATATTAGTAATACTTATATTAGTAAACATCTTTAGTGTGTGTATAGATACATATTAATGCCAATAGATTTGAATTTATTGAAGAATTTTAATTCCCAACAGAATGAAGCATATGATAGATAAGGGGTCCCTTTGGATAATATTAATCTTGTTAATCACTCACTATAAATAATTATATACGAAACTCACAAATTCAGAAATGAAACATCTATGATCCATTACGTGGATCAATCTGTTATATTTTTTAAATAAAAATAAATATTTATATTCTCAAATGTTACACATTTGTTTATACTATTTTATACCAAAATAACAATCGAGATGAACGGAATACACAATAACATGTGGAAATGAAATAATGATCTGGCCAAAAATTGATTACTCTTTGGAATATTTATGAACCATGACTACCTTTTGATTAGAGGCACTAATGGACAGGTGAGGTAATTTCAGTCATATATATATATATATATGAGAATCAAATTCCATAATAATTAACTCTGATTGAGATCACACTCAAGCTTAGTGCATGTTATGGGTGATAATAATCACATCACATTCACATTTGATTAATTAATTAAGACTCCAATTGAATGGGGGACTTGAAGTCAAGACATTTATATCATTATTTGCCAAATTGACTACGACTTTTGAATTCAATCGGTCTTTATAAGAGTGTTATATTTATGTTAATAAATNTGAGACGGTTGAAAAGGTTTGAACTATGTTTAGTAAACCTAACTGATAAATTAGTTTATAGATTATAAATGAATTTTAAATTTATACATGATAGTTTATGATTTATATATGGTTGAAAAGCTACCTGATATGATAGGAGTGTTTGGTAAAATTAGTTGATAAGCCAGTTGAAATAAACATTTCAACGGACATATTTGAAAAGTTACCCAATGAAGCTTATGAGATAAGCTCGAGTTTTTTAAAAAATTCGTTTACTAAACCAAACTTATTTTAATACAAAAAATTTATAAGTTAACCAAATAAGCTACAAGCTAGCTTGTGGTGCTTACCAAACACACTTTTAGTGAATTCGAGTCTTATTGTTGTAGTTTATGACTTATTGCTGAAAAATTAGCTCATATGATGGAACCGTTTGGTAAAATTAGCTGATAAATCAGCTGAAATAAAAAATTCAAAGAGTTTAATTGAAAAGTTATCCAAGGAAGCTTATGACATAAATTCAAGCTTTTTTACAATTTGTTCTATCAAACCAAGCTTATTTGAATATATGATCTTATAAATTAATCAAATAAGCTATAAGAGCTTGTGGTGTTTACCAAACAATGTCTGATCCAGCTCTATTGAGAGCTTGAAGCCTCTGAATTTTGTTGATTTTGTGGGTTTTGTGTTTTTCATGCAAAGATCTTCTGGGTCAGCCTATCAGTGGAGCCCAACTAACTAATCTTATGAATCGAGCAGCCCAGTATTCACTTTCTTTAAGCCCAATTACTCAATTAAGTAAGGTTTGTTTTTTCATAATCCAAATGATTAATTTACTAACATATAAACTGGATCCATTTGCCAAAAGAAGCCCAATCTCCTAAATGCTCAAAATCATTGAACAAACCAAATTTTTCATATTGCACCACTTTTTCTTCAATATTTTTTTTTTTTTAAATCACACACTCAAACCTTGTATAAAAAATTATATCTCAAGTACCCTGTCCTCTTCCTGGTAAATTCCTTCTCCTCTTCAAAATCACATAACATCCAATTCCCCCAAGAACAATCAAAATTATAAGCCCATCAACCAAGCCCACAACAACAATAACCCATTTCTTTAGCCCAGAATTCTTGTCATGCCCATTATGTACAACTACTCCCTTAGGCACCTTCACCATATACACCACTTCACCTCTTTTTTCAACTTGCTTAATCCCTCTAGCAACTTCATACAAAAAACATTCTCCAAAATTACCATCATATCCAACTGCCAAACATTTACAATCATTCAAACACGACTTCGCGCATTCGTCTCTGCCGATATTACCCCCAGACGACGCGCTCCTCAGTACGCTGACTGCGCCTCGCAACTCGAGCATCTCCACACCAGTACTTTTCTCCCCACAAAGCCCCTCGAGATTTTCGTTTTTGCAATCGAACCCCCCGATGCACGAGCACGAGCCTGACGAGTAGCAAAACCCGTAGGGCCCACACGCCAGGGGGAGATCGCACGTAGAGTCGAGTGCACGATAAGAAGCCTCGAATTTCTTGTTCTCCTCTGAGTATCGGTAGAATATCAAATTGCCTGTGCGGTTGTCGAGCGACATGAACCTCACGGGCTCCCGATCGTTCGATCGGATCTCCACGAACTTGTGGCTCCCGTTGAACAAGCCGAGCCCGTTCGAAGATAACATTGCGAACGTGACGCCACGCTCGTCATTAGGCCGATACTCCCAATACGAGTATTTCGACTTGCCGAAATTCAAATACAACACTAATTTATCGTGTTGGATTTCGAGCGAGTAGAACAACGTCGAGTTCATCGGGAACGAAGTCAGCCACGTCCGAGAACTCAATCTTTGGCCCCACAACATCACGTCGGTCGGAAAATTGAAACTTTGCCATTTTATCAAGCTCGATTCATCGACTAGAACTAGATTCCCTGTCCTTAGCAAGAGTAGCCTCTGCGCTAGAGTAAAAATTAATACAATATAAAACATTTTATCAATAATAATTAATCACAAATTAAAAATAAAATAAAATACAAAAAAACAAAATGAACTTACCTTAACACCTTGTCCCGGAGTTCCACTCCTCCATCCAATCAATTCCTTCTCGCCCTTCAGTCTCAAATCACCATTTTCAGTCAGCTCAAGCACACATTTTTCGACCGCGTAGAATCTCGACAAGTGTCCCGAACTCCAAACCTTAACTTCCCCAAGAAAAACATCGATCGAGCACGAATATTTCTCGTTTTCTCCAGCTTCGATGCTGACCGCTGCCCTGAAAAACGGCTCGGTTTTCTGGTCTGCCCCAATCAGAAAAGCTCTGCCTTGAAAACCTCTTGTGTAGACTGTTGGAATTGCAATTGTTACCTGATAACCAACCTTAATTTCTGATAATGACAAGGATTGAAGTTGAACAAAGATGTTTGTTAATAAAATGCAGATCACATGGATTTTCATGTCAAGTGTAACAAAAAAAATATTGTCCTTTTTGTATAGTTATGNGATTCTTCCATGAGGAAAAAAAAGGTTTTGTCATGGGCATTATTAGCCACTATCAACAACCTACTTGTTAAAAGCTTTTAAATTTTTCATCTCTTTTATTTATTTCTTTCATATATGTGCTTGATAATTTGCAAGTAATTATACAAGTCATTTACAAATTTGAGTTATCAAAAATACACCTACCAACTACCAAGCACACATTACTCTTTTTATTACTATATCATCAACATCAACAATTTAGATTTTGCCAGCATATTATTCGATAAATCAATTGATAAACCAATGTGACAAAGTAGATTGATTTTAATTACACATTACATGAATTTGTTATTTCACACGTTACATCATTTTTAATATCAACAGTTACAACCTATCATCATTTTTAATATCAACAGCTACAACCTATCGTTTATGTTAAGCTTTAGATCAAACATTTTATGTTTAAATATCATTTTTCTAATGGTCCCAATTGCTAGTATTGTGTAGGATTTTGTTAGTTGTAGAAAAAGATTAGGTAGGCAAATTACTCTCAATTAAAGGAAGTTTCTTAAATCAGCTAATTTTGTACAAAAAGTGGTCCTAATGCAAAAATTCTGTTCAACCAATTGGTTGCTTCTTTTCTATATTGAGCAAAAAAACTAGCTAAATTTATCAAATTAAGAAACTAATGATGTGATTAACTGCAGCATTAGAGAGGATTTGGAAAATAGAAGTGTGTGTAGGCATTTTCAGCATGGTGGCACTGTGGGACCCAAAATTTCTCTTTGTAACTTTTGCTGGGTAACAAAATTTGAAAACACAAATGAGTGTGCATTATGATGATTTTTCTTTATTTTTAAGTTGGTAGGTAAGCACTTATAAATAAGGATAATTAAATGGGCGCCACGTGGGCCGTTGTGATGTTAATCTCACGTATTAATGACGGTTGCCAGCCGCATGCGCCTCCTTTGCGTTAGCTGGCGTACAATTAGAGTTGCTTTAGAAGGGCCCTGAGATCAGCCAATAGTGGGCCAGCTTGTCGCGTTCATGACAGGCTTGTTTCAATTTGGGCCTTGCATTGAATTTGAGGTTCTTGGGCCGATACCCAACTGACAAAAGCCCACGCGAATAGAGTCTGTTCATCTTCGCGGCAAATCAAACGACTTTATCTGAGCTCCTGTTCGTGTTCTCACTTCTCACTATAACAGCAGAAATAAGCATTTTGAACGACAGCAGCACAACACGAGTGAGCTCATGCATTTGGGGTTGTACGGTACAACTCTGGCTGCACCTCGCTTTTTGTCGGCATTAATAAACTCCTCTCGTTTTCGAAGAATCGCGAGCAGAGGTATGGGATCGAGAGCTGGTGATGGAAATCGCGCGAATTCCAGAAATGGCGTAAGATTTAGAGCTTCCATTTCCTCTATTCGCTTGATATTTTGCATAATTTTCACATAAGCATTTTTTCGAACATTTGGTGTGTGCAGCAATATGCTGGTTTAACAGTTGATTGCCGTCAGATTGAGACTTTGAGTAACTTAACTTTTGCGTGTTTTGATAATTGTTGTGGAGATTTGGTTTCATATTATTCATATGAAGAATAAATTGATGTTCTAGGTGATGGAATTTTACCTCAAAACGTGTAATTAGATAATTTAGAATTCTACACTGATAGATCTTTTTCATTTTTCTTTGAGTTGTATGTAAGATATAAGCTAGAATCTTAATACCTACCGGGTGTCGAGATTTTGCAGTTGACAGGCCATGAACAAAGTCACACACATTTGTGGGATGAGGATGATTTTCCTTCACTTTCTGATGGTATTAAATCCCGGCCAGCAGGGAAAAGGAGGACACGGATAGACTTGGGTAGTCCTAGTCCTAGTCCTAGTTCTAGTTCTAGTCAATGGAACTCGAAGGACATTCGAAAGTTCGGCTCTTTGCAACCTTCTACAAATCACGAGTATGATACAGAATTGCCTGCCAACTTTAGCAAAAAGCATCCATATGCTAGAAATCGAGCGTCTCCTCATGAACGTGGAGAATCAAAGAAAGCTTCAGTATCCTCTCCAAGCACTACTAATCACCATTATGATACAGAATTGCCTGCCAACTTCCGCAAAAAGAATCCATTTAATAGAAATTGGGCTTCTTCTCATGAACGTGGAGGATCAAAGAAAGCTTCAGTATCCTCTCCAAGCACTACCAATCACCAGTATGATACAGAATTGCCTGCCAACTTTCTCAAAAAGCATCAATTTCCTAATAATCGGGCGTCTTCTCATGAACGTGGAGGATCAAAGAAAGCTTCAGTATCCTCTCCAAGCACTACCAATCACCAGTATGATACAGAATTGCCTGCCAACTTTCGCAAAAAGCATCAATTTCCTAATAATCGGGCGTCTTCTCATGAACGTGGAGGATCAAAGAGAGATTCAGTATCCTATCCAAGCACTGCCAAAGATGAACCTTTTGACATATGCTTCCCTCACTCCGAACCCAACCGGGAGCTTGTGTATGAGAAATATTGTGGAAAAGAGTGGATCCCAGAGTTAGAATTTAAAGATGAAGATAACGAGCATGAGGAAGGTTTCAAGGACGAAAAAGACTCAGATGAGGTTTCTAGTGAGGTTCTTAGACCTGGAATGGTACTATTCAAGGGTTATATACCCATCTCCGAGCAGGTATTTTTACGGTATTTTTAATTTTATGTTGATCTTGAATTTTCGGCCTCTTTCTTTTTTGTGTAAATTGACGTGTCTTTTTTTTTGTCTTGAAGGTGTGAAATTAATTTAGGTATTACCTTTGTACTTTCTTTTTTTTTTTTTCAAATATTACATTAGTCCCTGGATTTGTTTGAATGCATTAAAATGAAAATTTGTCATTATCATGTCTGGGAACTCTACCTCGCATTGACAAGTTAAGAGAGAAGTGAATGATCTCCAAATTCGATACATTTGCATTGTAAGACAATTTGGTTACATTCCCCCAAATCACTATGCCAGTGATCAGAATGCAAGTGGAACTTTTCTGTTTGCCTTCCTCTAAATGTAATCATATTATTAACATGGAACTATATCGTACTTAGGTTTAGTTACTCGTGCTTTACCTGCAGGTGAGCATAATCAAAAGATGCCGAGAACTAGGTTATGGTCCGGGGGGTTTCTACAGACCCGGTTATGAAGATGGTGCTAAACTCCGCCTATACATGATGTGTTTGGGTCAAGATTGGAACCCTCAAACGAGAAAGTACGAAAAGATACGCCAGCATGATAATGTTTTACCCCCTGATATTCCTCATGAATTCTCTTCCTTGGTCCGCAAAGCACTCGATCATTCCCATGATCTGTTCAAAAGAGACATGAATAATCGAGCAAGTGTCGATGACATACTTCCTGCAATGTCCCCAGATGTGTGTATAGTCAACTTTTATACTACTAATGGGCGACTCGGTCTTCACCAGGTTGGTTTCGAGTCAACTCAGTTCAGCTTTCGCTACTTGTTATATCTTCTTGTTCTGGCTGAAGAAGAGCAAATACAACAGATCAATAGTTGGTATGACAATATATTGATGTGATGAGATATAGCTGCGAGCCTGAGAGCTTATGTATTAAATTTAATTAAAAAAAATGTGATCTTGTTGAATTAAATATGGAAAAATGTATATTCAAACATGTTGGGGTTCAACTTATAATGATTCCCGTTTTACAGGATCGTGATGAAAGCAAGGAGAGTCTTGCAAAAGGTCTTCCTGTTGTGTCTGTATCTATTGGTGATTCAGCCGATTTTCTGTATGGCGATCATAGGAGCGTGGATAAGGCTAAGAGCGTCTTATTAGAATCAGGTGACGTGCTTATATTTGGCGGAAAATCTAGGCATATTTTCCATGGTGTGACAGCTGTTATTCCAAATACAGCTCCTCGTGCCCTGCTGAACGAGACGAGACTTAAACCCGGTCGTCTCAATTTAACTTTCAGAAAATATTGAAATAATTTGCAAACTTGATTCAATAATCGAAAAAGGGAAAAGGAAAGAGAGAAAGAAAGTAAATGCAGTATAATATGAGGAGATAGGAAGTCCAGTTTGATACAGCCAACTACAGCTTTTTGTGTGATTTTTTTGGTTAATGTGCTTCATGTTGGAGTAAGTCTTGATTCCAGATGATTGGGGATTTTAGCATTAACTGCAACTAAAGACACAAAACACTATAATGCTTTCTTATATTATTGGTACACTAAAATTTGAGAGCTTTTTTCTAATCGGTTGTTGTGGCGTGTCGTGAATGGCCTAAAATCCTCCCCTCTTTTTGCTTTTTTTAGTTTTAACTCTTAGAGTCACGCAAGAATTTGTGTTAAGTTTACTATATGTTCTTGAATCGGTTGTATATCTCTCTCAGTTGATTTTTTTCTTAAAAATATACTACCATTCATATTTGGGTGTTCTCAACAATTTTCTCATCTTTGGATCACAAACTCACACATTTTTACTGCTCGCGTATTAATCCAACCCGTAAAAGGGTGTTTATTATACTCGTGTGAGTTACTCTCTTCTTGATTGTGATACAATTTCATGAGATGACGTGAACATTTGGTAGTTATTCTACGAATGCATGATAAAATCCATTCATAGGAAAAGACAACTTATAATCATCATACTTATGGCTTAATCATCCTACAATTACTTGTAAGTTGATAATATTCGTAGCCCAAAATATTATTGAGAATTTGAGATGGAGACCTCAAATGAGAGCCACTAATTGGGTTTTCATTTGGTTTTTAACATTGTAGGTAGGGATCATTAATTTAGGTTTAACCGTTTAACAGCAAAAACGATGTTAAACTCTGTCTTTATTTACTCATCGCCCCTGCACAAGAGACATCACGTACATTTTTGCAACTGCTTAAGAAGTGCGGCCAAGTTTATTAGACAAACTAGCTGATTTCAATGTGGTAGAATATTCCCCAAAGCTCCTTTTAAGATAGCTTTCGTGCTATAGTTTCATTACATCACTTAATAGTTTATTGTTAGTTTTCACATACCCGTTTGGTGGTTTGATTTTGCTTATAATATTATCCCAACAAAATTTGTCACACTTAGCTCATAGTTAATGGCTTATTTAATTAGATAGTAGCGGATAATCGATTGAATTGACAATTTTAACCAGTCGAATAGATTGGTTGATTATGCAAAAGGTTCGGTAAATAATTAACGGCTTGATATGGAACAATAACTAACTACACTCTCATATTTCAAAAAGCTTTTATATTAAGTTTATTCAATCTTAGCTTTTTGGATCCAAAAAGTTATTTCTAAACTGTTACTTATCAAAAAGTAAATTATAGGTTCTTCTAATCTTAATCACCGAACAAGAACTTATAATTTTAGCCCAAAACGTTGATTACCGAATAAGAACTTTATCTTTCAAAAGATCACTTGATCATAGAGATTTAAGTTCTTTATCTTTTGAAAGACACTTGATCATAGAGATTTAAGTTCTTTATCCCCTTTTAACTTTGTACCTATACCAAAATGTGGAACAAATTCACTTCTTTATTTACATCTCACAGATAAATACCACGTTTATTCACCCCCAACACACAAATTAACCGTGAATAAAAATTCTCATTAAGGGCTTCATCATTAAATCCATACAGCCAATACTCATATATACACCCCATACATTCCACCCAACACCACAAAAAGGCATATACACACACATTTTCACCCCCAAAAAAATGAGATCATTATTCATCAACAAATACATTGAATCAGCACAAATCTCAGCCTCTATATAAATAAATATAACCAGGCAAGGCACACCAATACATTATCTGTACATTACCATTTNGAGCCCGCGGGCTTTCCACGAGGCCCGTCTCGTGCTCTCCTGTAGACGAACCCCCCGCCGCCTCCGAATTTCCAAAAATACCCCCCTTCGACTACGCTCCCCCTCCTTACATGGGCCCCACCTCGTCAGAAATCCTCGCCAAGCGGAAGCAATTCCTCAGCCCTTCCATGTTCTACTTCTACAAAGAACCTGTAAGAGCCATGCATATTAATTTCCATTTTCATTTTTTTGCCCTTCAAGAAAAACATGAAAAAGAAAAAAAAAAATTCGAGGCCTTATCGAAAATTGATCTTTTTTTGCAGATCAATGTGGTTCATGGTAAAATGCAATACTTATATGACGAAACTGGCCGGAGATACTTAGACTCGTTTGGCGGCATTGCCACCGTGTCATGTGGCCATTGCCACCCTCACGTGGTGGAGACTATCGTCCGGCAAACAAAAACCCTTCAGCACTCGACCATTCTCTACCTAAACCACTCGATTGCCGATTTTGCCGAGGCCCTGGCATCTAAGCTACCCGACGAACTCAAAGTCCGCATCTTTATTTATATTTTTATATTTTTATTTTCGATATATTAATTAACTAAAATCAAGAACTTGGTCGATCGACTAAATTTGGATTGCTTTTTTTTTTTGTTGTTTGGTTTGTTAGGTTGTATTCTTCACTAATTCCGGGACAGAAGCGAACGAGCTAGCGATGATGATGGCTCGACTTTACACGGGCTTTCACGACATCGTGTCACTAAGGAATTCGTATCATGGGAATGCATCAGGAACAATGGGAGCCACTGGTCAATGTAACTGGAAATTCAATGTTGTTCAGGTACATAAATTCAAAAAAAGATAAGTAAATGGAGGATAGTTAATTAGTTTATAATTTGAAACATTTTGATTTGGTTTGGTTTGAGATAGAGTGGAGTTCATCATGCCCTGAATCCGGACCCGTACAGAGGCCCATTTGGTTCGGATGGCAAAAAGTACGCAAAGGAACTCGAGGATTTGATTCAGTTCGGGACTTCGGGTCACGTAGCTGCTTTCATATCAGAGGCTATTCAGGTGAATTCTAGTTGTGTAAGTAAGCATATAAGCTAGTTTATAGCTTATTTGGTTAGCATATAAGCTTCCTGTATTCAAATAAGTTTTTATTTTGGGTTGCTTTTTTAAATAAGTTCATTAAATTTTTTATTTCAACTAATTTTACCAAACATTTTTGTCATATAAGCAAGATTTTCAGTCATATTAAGTCATGAGCTATCAGCTATAACCTCGACATTCACTTAAAAGTTATAAGCTAGCTTATCAGATGTGTTTTGTTTCGTGTTGTCGTGCTAAGATGGTTTAACGAACCGAACCTCGTTTGTCTCAACAGGGAGTTGGTGGAATTGTGGAATTAGCTCCGGGCTACTTGCCGGCCGTGTACGGAAGCATCCGGAAAGCAGGAGGCCTTTGCATTGCGGACGAGGTCCAAACAGGATTTGGTAGAGTCGGGAGCCATTTTTGGGGATTCGAGACTCAAGGCGTTGTGCCCGACATAGTCACAATGGCTAAGGTCATTATGAAAAAATCATATCATATGCCTACTTTTTTTCAAAACGGGCTTTTTTTCTTTTTAATAACCGAATTATGGCTCGATTTTTTCAAATTTACAGGCGATTGGAAACGGGATCCCTTTAGGTGCAGTCGTGACTACTCCTAAGATTGCCGAGGTATTGACTCATAGAAGCTACTTCAACACTTTTGGAGGGAATCCCGTTTGCACGGCAGCTGGACTAGCCGTGCTTAGAGTGATCGAGAATGAAAACCTTCAAGAAAATGCACATATTGTTGGCTCGTACCTAAAAACGCGACTCGATGATCTTAAACAAAAGCATGAAAGTAAGCAAAAGTTGATGCAAGATATTTGAATACAAATATGCTTTGAACTTATTGTTTTTTTATCGGTATATATATATATATATATATATATTGTGTAGTTATTGGTGATGTGAGGGGAAGAGGATTTATGCTTGGAGTTGAACTAGTCACCGATCGCAAGGCGAAAACTCCGGCAAAGGTCGAAATTCTTCAAGTGATGGATCAAATGAAAGGTATCTTTTTCTTCTTTTATTTTTCTTTTTTCGTTTCGCTTTTGAAATGTCGACTAAGTAAATAAAACCACATTGTGTTATCAAGATATGGGAGTGCTGGTCGGAAAAGGGGGAATTCACGGCAATGTTTTCAGAATTACGCCTCCCCTGTGCTTTAGTCGCGCAGATGCTGGTAAGTTATTTACTATAGCATATATATATAGTAAATTATATAAAATAAAATATCATGAATTGTTTAATTATGGACAACTTTTGATATGATTCAATCTATGCAGATTTTCTAGTGGATGTGATGGATTATACATTGGCCAAGCTATGAAAGTTCTGCCATAAAATTTAGTTAATAAATCAGACAACATGTTGAGCCATGAAGATGATTTGCATTTCTCAGACAGAAATTTGTTCACCAAAATGTGTTATTATTATTAGCTAAAAGTTTTGTCTATGTACATTAGATCCCAATACAGACAAATTAAATACTATGAGGTGTATTCTTCACGAATCTAAAAATGAAGCAAATATCAAAATACCTAACTAGTTATACTTTCAGACAGAAATGTCATACTGTCATTAAAAAAGAAAAAAAAAATATAAAAGAAAAAAAAGTATGCATTTTTTTGTTACAGAAGTATTCACAGAGTGGATCCTCTGCATTTAGCGAAATTCATTTGAATACAAACCATAACACTAACCCAAAAAAAAAATAAATAAATAAATAAATAAATAAAAAAGAAAAAGAAGCGCTAACCATCGTATTGGATAAACATAGACGATCGCGGCGAATGTTGGTTGTCGATTGTGCTTGATCTCGAAAGGGACAATATCGTAAATTGGACGATCGAGTTTAGCATGGAGAAAACTTCGGCAGCCACGAAATCGAGCTCACGGTACAAGCTCGTGCTCTTGCGCAGCAAAACATGCATCACCACATACAATGCCTTGTGGAGTATTGTTCTTGCCATGTTTTTTTGTCTGATTTGAGTTTTGTCTTTTNATGTGATCAAATGAAAGTCGTTATATTGTATGGTGTGATGAGAAATTAACTGTATAGATTAGACCAATTTTCAAGTACTAAAATGCCCTTTGCTTTCTTGCCCCAGGCCCCCAAATACTATTACATTTTATCAATAGATCACAGCAGTTTAGCTATGGAGTCATCGAATGGCTCGGCTTATAGAGCCATCCACACTTATTCACTAATAGTGTACGGACACGTGTCCTGCAATAAATACACTTTTGACAAGTGTCAATACATTAAGTGGTGAATGACTCCATAAGAAAACCATCCGAAGGCTCTATAGAATTTTTGTAGATCACAGTTGTTGATATGGCTCATATATTGACAAAGGAAGGAGGCAGGCTGATGCCTGCGAGTGGAGCGAGCTTAGCGAGGGAGCGGAGCGTCCGAGTGAGCGAGGGAAGCGGAGCGTCCCAGCGGAGTGAGTGGAACGAGCAGGGGGCGGAGCCCCCGGGGTACGATACGGGGTATTTAAGTAAATTTATACCTAGTAGGGTTATAATATAAATACATGGTTATAATAAGTAAATTCGTATTGTCATCGTTTCTCAACAACAGTTATTACAATCTAACGGTTAGAGAGTTGATCCATCATTATTTTTTTAATAAAAATATATATTTATATTGAAAAATGTCATACGTGTGTGTGTTCTAGATAGACTTAACAAAAAAAAGAAGAAGTTAAAATTAAGTTTGTAAAGCCAAAGATTACTAGTTATTGGAAGGTAACTAATTTACCAACCAATCACAAACTTATAATCTTTTGTATTTTTTTTTTCTTTTCTTCGATATCTGAACAATTTAATCACGCGCACACATACACACACATAGAGATATGTATTGATTCATCAGTTCAAACATCTATATGTGTAAATAAGTACGGATTTGCTGTGAAATAAAATTGAACAAAATATTTCAAAAGTCTTAATTGAAATTCAAGCCAAATCTTGAGGCCTTTAACTTACCGTTAGTATTGATCACCAATATAATAATAATAAAAAAAAGTACAATAATTGCACTAGGTATAAATCTTCCAACGAATCTCACAGTTTTACTTGTTAAATCGCCATAACAAGGAAAGCCGAAATAAAACTCAAGTGAGATTTCATCCCAGAATCAATTGATTGAATGAGGAGTAAGAGCATCTCCAATGCTATAAGTGTGAAAGACCATTATTTTTAACACATGTCAATTAGTGATTGTAATGTTAATCCACATTGGAATAATGTTAAAAGACTAAAATTTTTAATGAAACTAGTATCTCCAATGCATCAATTGATAAAAAGTTATTTTTATAGGTGGACCAATTAAATAATTCATTGATACAAAAAAATAAAAAATTAAAACAAATATAAAGTAAATTGATGAGTCATCATGTTTAACATGGTGTTAGATATTAGAAAGTGTGCTCAACATTGTCAACATTAAATGACATCCACCTCATCATGAAAGAGTTCATGACAAGATACATTGGAGAAAAAAAATAGAGACACACTTTCAAAAGTTGATGATATGGATGACTTTTTATAATGTCAAAAGTTACATTGGAGATGCTCTAATCTACTAAACTTATAAATTTGTCTTATTTTCCCTATATAAACGATATGGGATAACTCACAAGTGTTATTATATTCTATAAGAAAAAAAAAGATTCATGAGTTGGCATTTTCATTATTACCTTTCAACCCTACAAAAGCAGCAAAATCTCACATACATTGGCAAAAAGGTAAGGAACAAAAAGGGCTCTCTCAAGTTATACAAATCCCATGATAAGGTCTTAGTCTGTAAAGAACAATACACCAAACAGCAATGTGCGTGAGTGTCTGTGTTTATAAGGATGGACTTTTCTTGGGCCTCAATTTAGTTGGCATTGTGGGTCCGACCGCAGATGTTGTCTGTTGGAAATCCATCAACTCTGCAGGCCCATTTTCACAACCTTTTCGTGCTTAATTTAAGATCATTTCCTGAAAAAAAAAAAAAGGTTGTGCATGTGATCACTTTTCATGAATATATTCATCAGGGCCTTTGAGCTCCCTCAATTTTAGAAATAAATTTCACCATGCAAAAATAAATCAATTGGGGTTTGTACAAAATGAACTTTTCGATATGTAGAAATCGACTATATGCTATATCTCTCTTTTTTGCTACTTATATCTTGATTTGTATCATTTCTTTCTACAATTTAATTGCTAGCCGTAAATGAACTGAGTCAACTCGAGCTTGAGTTTTTATCTAACATATGTTAATTTGACGAATCGATAAACGAGCTGAATTCGAACATTGACAAAATAGTGATACATGATAAAGTTTCAAAAAATTGTGTAGAAGTCAACGTGTCGAGCCAAGCTCGAGTCATTAACTGAACGAGCCTTAAACGAGCTCACCAGCTACACATTTTATTTATCAATAATAAACTTCAATTCTGATAAATGGCATGAAATATTACAGCTATGATTAATTAAACGATATGTAACAAACTTGACTTAATGGTATAGAAATTAGATATATAACACCGATCGACTTAATTATATCACCACCCATATGAAGAGCATATATATATATAATGAATCACTATTGATTTTAATTTCGATGATCTTTGCGGCTCGAAAATGATGTTTTACCCAACATATAATATAGGATTGCTAGTGCATACAGCACTAAACCATAATATTGCAGCTTGGTTTTAATCATGTCTTAGGTGAAAACATGATGAAAAAAACAAAAATATTAAAAAAATGTGCGTATTTTATTTTGTCTTTATTATAATATACAATCACTCATATAATCTTTCTAGCCATATAGGATGTTATTTTCAAGATTTACATGATTGTTGTACGCATAAAATATTTTTTTATTCTTAAGAAAATGGAATGATGAAAACAAAAAATAAATGAAGTGGAATAGTTATTTACAACAAGTTAATATGATGATGATGAAGTTAAATAAATAATCTATGTCAACCACATGGCTGTAATTAATATTATTTTATGCAATATATGGTAATATTCTGCAAGAATTACATGTAGTCAATAATAAATTGGATTAATATGTTAGAACAATTTATGATTTATTTGGAAATCATGCCCAAATATGGAGAAAAATGATTTTCTCATCTTGCTCGACATATAATTTATATCATATTCTAGAGTAGCCAACAACAATCTCTTAGATAGTTTAAGAGGTTGCTTGAATTTGTTGATTTAGGGATTTACAAATAATCATTGCATAAACTTTGGAAACACACAAAATTTATCAATGTATAGCTAATTTGAAGTACCTTTGTTCTATTTAAAATGGGAAAATTTAAGATAAAAATAACATATTAGGATCTTAACGATCCTAATCTATACTTATATTAAAAGGTATCTCATTTACCAGATTTAGTATAAAGAAAAGTCAAAAGTAATTAATGTTTGCTGAAAATAAAATGACATTAATTACAGATTTATTTGGTATTTATAGTTTGCCATTAAAGATTTGTTATGGGATAAAAATCAGAACCGATTTTTTTACCTTTGCTGGAAAAGTCAAATGTAAGTATAGATTTATTTTATTCCATAACATCGGTTTAGTTAAAATAATCTCATAAAATCGGTTTTAATGTCAAGCCTATAAATAAAGATTTAATCGGTTTTAATAAAGCAGATTTAATCGATTTTAATAATTGCATAGAATTTCAAAGCTGTTATTTATTGTAAAAAAATTAAATTCTAAAAAAACATTTGTGTATATTTTGTAAAATGTTTGTACAAAATGTTTTACTTTAAATTTAGTTACATAATTTAAATTAATTACATTAATAAATAATATGAACATACATTAAATATTTTAATTACATAAAACAAAAAGAAGAAGAAGATTACATCTATAACTTATAATAATAATGACATTATACTACAATAAATTTTATAATGAAATAATATAAGTATTATACGAGGAACAAGATTGCGTAAAATTGTTATTTTTCTTATATCAATGAATAAATATATATAATGAAATCAAATTTATATTATTATAAACATGTGAGCGAGATAATATATTAATTAATTTACGGGCTAGCGCTACCAGACTCAGGTTTAATGTTCCGACAAAAAAAATGACGTTGATGAAAAGATGTAAAAAAATAGATGATCAAACTCTATTATTTTTTAAGCCTGAACGGACAAGCTCTATGGTCCACTCATTTAATATCTCCCGTGAATCGCACGAGCTACTTAACGGACAAGTTCTGTGGAAATAACTCATTAATACTTATGTCACGTGCATCGCACGGGCTACGTGCTAGTATGTACCAAACAGATATCCAAAATTAACTTATATAAGTTAATATTAACTAGATTAACTTAGGTAAACAACATAAGTAACAGTGAGCACGAAATTAACTTATATAAGTTAATATTAACTAGATTTTCAATTAATGTACCAAACAGATATCCAAAATCTT